CGCGGGGCGCTGAGGGGTGAGCACCCCGACGCGGACCACGCGCCTCTTTCCCCCGGCTGTGAGCCCGGGGCCTCCTGGCTTTTTGTCTTTGCGTTTTCTTTTTTTCTTTTTCTCCAGCCGAGAAGACGCGGCTGTGATAACGAAGGTAAGAGGGGCGCTTGGGGAGGTTCTTCGTTTGGCCTTCTTGGGTCCCGTTTGCAGGTCGTGGGCGCGCACCTGAAGCTTGCGGAATCAGGTAGCCGGAGCTACCCGATCGACTCCCCCTTATTGGGTCCGGGTACTCGGATCTTTCTGTGGGTTATAGTTGAAATTTCTGCTAGGGATGGAATAGATGCGAGATGGAACGTTGCAGTGTTCCTGAACTCAAGGTAAGGCTGGTTTAGAATCTTCAGAATTCCATTTGTAGTATTCTTTTATCTAATTATTATTGTTACATTAATTGACTCATATAAGCATTTTTTTTTTGCGTGCTTCATGAGCACAAGATCCCTCCCATTGAACTTGAAAGTCTCTTGTGACTCTGCTAGTACCTACTTGTTTTTATGAATCTGTAGAGGGGCCCCCCAAAAGTTGAGATGTAGAACAGATCTGAATCCTTCACTGAGATTTTCATGATATTTTGGAATCTTCGCTTCCTTCATAACGCTCAGATTCAAAGCGAGTCTGTAGTAAAGGACAGTCCAGTGTTTGTGACTTTTGTAAACGTAAGCGCAGTGATCTTTGGCTTTCTGACTTTAAAATTGATGCTTCTGTGGCAATGTTTGTTAATAGTTACTTACAGAAAAATGGAGCGTATGGATTGTTTTTTATGGACAGAAACGATTCTTACGAAACCTTAGTTACGTGCATTGTCCCAAGACAAACTTCTGAAAATCAATTCAGAGATTAAAGAGAAACTGGATTTTTAAAATTATTATTATTATTATTTTAAAGAAAGTTGAGATGCAGTTAAATGCACGTCTGGATTCATTTGCTGGGGTTTCTTCAAAAATGAACAGTTTACAATTTTACTGATAATGCATGTGGATGTTTCCCTGAAACTTAGGCTAGAGACTATGTTTGGCCTTGTATCACAGAGTGACATCAGTGTGTACAAGGACGATGTGTGGGGTTTTAAAAACTGCTTGTTCCAGGAGGACCTGTCATATCTACTAGCTACTTTTGGAATGAGCAATTCAAGAAATATTGAGTGTGTGACCAGATCTTGGGTCCAGATGAAATAACACAGTTCGTTGGTCACATGTAAAACATGGCTGTGGAAGAAAAACAAAAACAAAAAGCCAATGTGTCTGCCATTTAAAGATAGTTGGGCTAGAAAGGAGACTGGGGCAGTAAATGCCACAGCTTTTTGAAAATCCTGGGTTTGTGAATATCATTGTGTCAGAGGGGAAGCATGTTTTCCAAAAGGGGAGGGAGTTGCCTTAAACAAATTACTCAATGTGCTTAAGACTAAACTAGATTTCTTATTTAAGTCTCGAATTTGAGAATCACAAATTCAGTGTTCTTTTAAAGAAAAAAATTAATTTGAAAAGAAAAACTTATGAGTTAATTTAGATCCATTTTTTCCCACTCATAATCTGAGATCGATCATCTTGTGGACACCATCATTTTTTTTTTTTTTGCTGTTGTCAGAATACATTTCTGCTCCAGTTACCACAAAAACTATCTTTGTGTCTCTTCAAATTTTCTATAGTATTTTTATCTTTGTTCTTATTTTGTATTGACATCATTGTACATAGATGGCCCCATAATGTTGTGATCTTGTCTGATTTATAAGATCAACATAGTCTGTGTGTATTTGTGTACATGACAGTATTTTTTATTTACCTAATCTGCTTTAAACATTTGCTAAAAAGACTTAAACACAAGGAAACATCACTGTTTTACAGTTTTTCTTAATATTGACTTGGTTAAAGTTTGTTAAGATAGAAAAATCACAGATTCCTCAAAAGAAGTAAGAGATGTGACTTATTTCAGCTTTCTGATATCTAACTTCTAGGTGATGGGTAAATTATGTCCTCTTGTTCCCTCCTCCTCCACCACCGTGTCCTAATTGAGTATCTTTAAAATATCCCTAGTAACATTGTTGCTTTAAATTTATGACACTAATTTCTAATTTAGGCTAGGCATAACACCAGCATCTATTGAACACATTTGCTAAAAATACTTTCTGGGTCGGATGTACTTAGAATGCAGCCTCAGGAAAATTCTCTTGAACTGTTCTACTGTGACCAGTGTAGATGTTATTATATTTTTTAAAATAAGAACTTTAATAAAAATTACAGAATTCTACAATTTAATTTTTATCAGTTTAGGCTTAGGTGCCACCTTTTAATGTATAAAGTGAAACAGTAGTAACAAATGTGATAGCAATAGAAACTTCAGTTTTTAAGAAAACTTAATGTGAACTCTATTGACTCTATTGGTTTGTATACTTCGAAGTGTTTTAATCTAATCCTTTGTATATAGAGTTGTAAATGACATACAGTTTGTATTATTAATTTAGTACTTGTGGCTTTTTCTCAACTCTGAAAGGAAGATCCATTGCTACCTTTTTGAGTAAATTATGTTTAAGGAACAAAATAGGAAATTGAGAATTTAAAGGAGACTCTTATTGAGAGTACTTCTTTCCTTCTCTGAGAGTTAGGTTGTTTAAAAAGTAATGTAATATGAGAGCCGGCTTGTTGGGGTATCTGTCCCGCCTGGTATCCCACAGCTGGCAAGTTCCAGAGAAAATCAATCACACAGAGATCTGTATAAGTTATAAAGCTGATTGGCCCATTAGGTCAGGCTCCTTATTAGTCCTTGTAACTTATATTAATCCATTATCATTATCTATGTTAGCCACACGGCTCAGTACCTTTCTCAGCATGGCAGCTCACATGTTGCCTCCTCGGTGATCTGGGCAGGAGTGGCAGAGGAACCTTCCTGCTTCCCAGAATTCTCCTGTTCTCATTGCATCACCTCTACTTCCTGTCTGGTTTTCCCGCCTATACTTCCTGCCTGGCCAATCAGCGTTTTATTAAAATACATGATTGACAGAATACAGATAATTCTCCCGCACCAAAGTAAGAAATCCTTTTTGTTGCTGTGTTGTTGTTTGGTTTTTTAAGACAGCTCTGGCTGTCCTGGAACTCTCCTTTTAGACCAGACAGACCTCGAACTCAGAGATCTGCCTCTGCCTCCCAAGTGCTGGGATTAAAGGTGTGCATCAGCACTGCCTGGCAAAGAGCAAGAAGTCTTAAAGAAAAAAATGTAGGAGTCTTGTTTGGTAGATGTTAAGGGCAAATGGTTTAAAGGTCTGTTTGAATTCTTCATATTAGAAATGTAAAATTGGTGAACTTGTTAGGAATGCAAGTTTATGTGACTTAATGTAGCTAAATATAAATTCTTGCTCATAAATTTGCTTATTGATAGAAATGTACTGATTCATAACTCAGTTGAGTTTTGTTATTTTTCTGGATTATTACATGTTACAAAGTTTTAAAATGATACAGTTCAGAGATATTAAATTTACTGGCTCAGTAGAAGTACTGTGAAGCCTTAAAGATTGATTTACCTTCTGGAAGTTGGGTTTTTAGGGGATGGAGAGGGCAGTAAAATACTGTAGAGAAACATACTGTTATATTTTCATAGAATGATTGATTAATAGTGCAGATAGTGCAAAGTAATGTAATGAAGAAGTATATAACTATTCTTTCCCGGCATAGAAATGTTGTCTAGAAACTATGATTTATTTTATATTCTTTGAATGAGAACTCAGTATAGTCATATAAGATACAAGGGACACTTAATTATGTTCAAAGTCATCTTTTATTTCATTATCCCCCAAGTAGAAACATTGGAAGAGAGGTTACAAGTTTTTGAAGAAATTGGTAAGAACAGAATGGGCTGTCTTCAGAGGAAGGCATTCATTTGGGAGGCTCACTTATTTTTATCTTCTAATAGGATGTTCTGTAGAGTAGTAGAAAGAAGAGGATCCTCAGGGAAGAATGTTAATATTTATTACCTGTTAAGTTCCAGGCAGTGTACATATAAATAAGTTATTTTACTTGATCATCAAGTATATTTTGTAAGGTGTGTATAAGGTCAGTCTTGTGTCATCTGCGCTCCTCCACGTGGAATTCAAACCATACCTGACTCTAAAGCTTATTCTTTAGAGTAGTGCAGTTCAATTACATTTTCTGTAGTGGTGAAAATACTTTCCCCTCTTTCCCAGATTTATTGAAATATAATTGACAAATATGAGGGAACTATTCTTTTCCCTACCCTGTTAGATATGGTAGCCATTAACTATGTATAGGTTATAGAACACTTGGAAATATGACTCTGGTATATGTGAGAAACTGAGTTTGAAGTTGCATTTAGTTTTAATCATTTTAAATTTCTCACTAAATGTGGTTACTGGTTATGCACTCTTGAGTAGCACAGTTCTTAAATTTTGCTTTCTAGAAAATCCAAGGTCTGACATTTAGTCTTCCTCAGGTTTAGTCATGACATCAAGGCTGCTTACTTAGTTCTTGAGCTTCAGCTTAGCCTGTTGAGAAATGAAGGGATTGCCAGAAAGATTGTTTTCAAGACACCACCTTGCTTTAAAGTTCAGTAACTTCTTATAATGTACAATGGCATTTAATATTCACAAACATTTCTGAAGGGGTTCTCCCTCTCCAGTGTGTTCATCATTCATATAAGGAATTTATTTTTGAGAAGAATAAAAAGTACACAGAGGATAAGGGGTTATTTCCTGCGCATACTCCCATACAAAGTTGTTTGGTGAAAGCATTGTGTGACCCAAAGCAATACTTTATTTTTTTTTATTTATTCCAACATAGATACAAGGCAACACTATGTAAGTTCTCTGTCACTGAACATTACATGTTGGAATAAAAACTGAATCTTTAAAGATCCAATTAATTTTTTTTTAGATTAGCAATTTTAAAAAATAGGTTGGCACTGGACTTATGAAGCCACAGGAAAGAAACAATCCTTGCCACCTTACCATGTAAGATATATAACTGTTCCTGGTACTTATCAAAGTAATTCTTAATCTGTTTGCTGGTCTCGAAGACTTTTCTCTCAATTTGATCTTGCTGACCCCGTTCCTTAGTCTTGCTTTTTTAAAATTTATTTTTTATGTATACAATA